GAGCTGGTGACTGTCAGACCGATGAGCACAAACCTTCAGTTTTATTTAGTCATTTTCAGGGGCTCTGGAACAGCAGTGGACTTCACGCTCCCCGAAATACTTTGAAATATGTTTTTAGGCGGTGCAGCGTTCAGACTCATTCTTGTGATAATCATCGCACACACAGGAAACCGAGCTTAAACCGAAACACAACAAATTACCACAGTGTTGAGAGCTGCAGTGAAGAGAAAAAGTGTTGATGCAGGAAACAGCAGCTCTGCGGACGCCCTGAGGGAGAGGAAGAAGCAGGATCTGACTGGAGCAGAGAACTGCTGGTAAAATTCTACATCAATGGCTATGTTAGCTCAGAGTCTGTCTGTCTGTCTGTCTGTCTGTCTGTCTGTCTGTCTGTCTGTCTGTCTGTCTGTCTGTCTGTCTGTCAATCTATCTATCTATCTGGCTAGTTAAAAAGTGAAAATAGAACTTAAAACTCCAAGTGATAATTTCCCATTATTAACGATGCAAACAAGAACAAATTAATTTTGACTTGGTGAGAAACGCAGTTGGAATTTGAGTTGGGAGGAAGTATAAAAAGGGAGGAGGTTGAAATTTTTCCTAACTTTTTTCTACTGCAAATCCAAACACACAGTAAAGGAGAAATAATTGAATCTTAGTCTTTAAAAAAGTATCAGGACTGTTTATTTGGAGGTCTTGCGTTAGCCGTGACTTTAGTCACTTTAGTTGAGCACAGAAAGGCTCAACTTTTCCATTTGTTCCTTTTATGAATAACAATAAAACATAAATGTTCGACACTTGTGATATGGGAATGCAAAAATGAATCTTTTAGGTAAATTCTGAGCCACAGTTTCAACTGTTTTCAGTCTGGGAGTTTCATGTAATTATCATGGTGAATACTAAAGTGTTCAGATAGAAAAGGTGACTCTCTGCTGAAGAATCTGCTGAATGTAACTAAGAACCAAAACAACAGTTCAGCTTTAGTGGCTTCATTCTGTTCAACTATCAAATACAAACGTAACGTGCTCAATTTATCAACTAAGATCTTAGAAACTATACCAAACCACAATCTCATCATCAGTGTTTGATTTGATCATTCCTATTCTAGCTTCTGTTATTTGCTCATATTTGTTGCTTGTCTGTTTGGTTTCTAGCAATGGACCTGAGTTCGGCACTTGGAAGCTTTCTGTTTTTCCTCTGGATGTCAGGGATCTGCACAGGAGGTGAGTTCAGTCACACAGTATTTAAAGAAAACATGTGCAGATAAATAGTGGAACCACTATTTGTGCACATTTTTTACTGATTTGACAAACACTTCTAAAATGTAGCCTTAGATTTTACAAGCTTTTTGTCAAGTCAGTCATGGGAGAAATTGATTGCCCTCTTGTGGGCAAAAAAGCATCTGTAGGTTTAAAAAAAGGCAGCAGTTTTTTTTCCTCATGATTTGATGAGTGGACTGGTGTAGTCTTGTTGAAAGACTGAATTTGTTGTCTCAGGAGGAGATAGCGTTACTTAGGCCTGTTCCATTAGGATCTCCTAATGACAACATTAAAACATTTATTCCAGAACTTCCTCTAATAGCTAGAACTGTTCATTATAAAGTCCTTTGTAGTTTGTCAATATTTCCTTTTTACACTTAAAACCCTACAATCACCCTCCAACCCACACAACCAGAAACAAACTCTAAAACTGAATCTGCAACATGTCATCAGCAACATGTTAACTAATCTCACTCTCACCAGAGTGTTTGTCATGCTTTTCTTACATCTAAAATGTGATWGTGGGACAGGACCTTAGCAAATGTTCATTCAGGTAAATGCAATTAATAAAACTTAAAACATTTGTTCAAAAATGTATTTGAACTGAAATATTGACACGGAATCATTTGTTGCTTTATCAACAATGAACTACTGAAGAATCGTCATTCTTTTCTGTGTTGCAGAGAGTTGTACTGACTTCAAGCCTGAAAGTGAGGTTTTCTCTGTTCCTGAGGAGGTGGCCATGCTGGAGAGCTCCCTGCTCTCTTTAAGGGTCCTAAATTTCAGGGCGGTCCCATACAACATCACTTGGATGAACTCAAAGACAGGACAGGAAATGAGCAACAAAACCGGTCAGATTCTGGTACTCGGCGCAACTTTGTGGTTCCTGAACACAACACTGGATGATGCTGGAGAATATGTGATCATACTGCGGTATGTTGATACCACTGAATAAATTAGGCTACCTATACATGTATTTATCAGATGTTCTTGTCAAATTTTGATTTAATTTGATTTGACTTATTGATTTAACAGGAAAAGATTACTAAAAATCAAGCCTGACTCAGCAAAATTGCTGTTTTACAGCAGGTTCCTGTTCT